GGATGGTCTCGATCTCCTGACCTCGTGATCCGCCCGTCTCGGCCTCCCAAAGTGCTGGGATTACAGGCTTGAGCCACCGCGCCCGGCCTTACTGTCATTTTTCTATAGTGAACATACATTACTGGCATGAGAACATAAAATGTACAAGTTATGTATACTTGTTGTACATAGATCAATCTTCTATTATAAAATTCATTTTGTGGCGGGCGCGGTGGCTCACGCCTGTAATCCCATCACTTTGGGAGGCCGAGGCGGGTGGATCACGAGGTCAGGAGATCCAGACCATCCTGGCTAACATGGTGAAACCCCATCTCTACTAAAAATACAAAAAAAATTAGCCGGGCGCGGTGGCTCACACCTGTAGTCCCCGCTACTCAGAACGCTGAGGCAGGAGAATGGCTCCAACCCAGGAGGCGGAGATTGCAGTGAGCCGAGATGGCGCCACTGCACTCCAGCCTGAGCAATGGAGTGAGACTCCATCTAAAAAAAAAAAAGAAAAAATTATATGAAAATGAAAGTAAAGCACAAGGCCTGACCAATAATAAACCCTCAGTAAGTATTTGCCTAATGTCTCAAAGCTATGTACAATAATGTAGAAGATGCTGGCTCATAAAGAGTTCTCAGCAGTGAAGTTTAATACGAGAGGGAAAATGCCCATTGGAACTTTTTGCTTAAATGTAGAAAAAGACTGATCTTCAAAGAACACCATTTACATCACTGGTAACATTAATATTACAAATTACCTTATAAGAAAGTATTAAATATCATACCTCATGACTGATGACAGTCCAACCACAAGATGAATCACTGTCACTGGAATTTTCAGACATCTTTCAGGTCTACAAATACAAAAACATATCGACTTATGGGACACATTTTTAAAAATTCTATAGGAAGCACTATATGTGACACTAAGTTTGAAAAGTGGTTTACTGTCTTCCAGGTGAAACAGAGACAAGCCACCCATAAATTTACCATACAGAACATGACAGGACTGCATACCTATATGAACAGATATAAGGAAACTTCTAAGACAAGGAGACCCTCCTAGACTAGAACCGTCTAGACAGTCATATTGTTGAAATGAAGAAGAAAGTTATGACTAAAAGAAAATGTAGCATTTGGCCAGACAGAGGTAAAAGAAAAGAAGAATTGTGAATGGGGAGCAGGCAGCAATAGTAAAGGACTCTATTTTCAATGAACAGTAAGGTGTGAAAAACATGACTGCAGAAACTGAGAAGCAGAGGGAAACTGAAAAGCTCCTATGCCAAGAAAAAGGAAGTCTGTATGTTGGCAACATGAAGCAATTTACATTTTTCAAACAGAGAAGAAACATGATCAAAACTGTTTTGAGACTGAGTCTCGCACTGTTGCCTGGTCTGGAGTGCAGTGGCGCGATCTTGGCTCGCTGCAACCTCCGCCTCCCGGATTCAAGCAATTCTCCTGCCTCAGCCTCCCGAGTAGCTGGGACTACAGCGTGCGCCACCATGCCTAGATAATTTTTGTATTTTTAGCAGAAATGGGGTTTCACTATGTTGGCCAGGCTGGTCTCGAACTCCTGACCTCATGATCCGCCCGCCTCGGCCTCCCAAAGTGCTGGGATTACAGGTATGAGCCACCCTGCCCAGCAATCAAACTGTTTTTATGAAAATAACTGTGTCAGCAATACTTCAGTTGGATTAAAGTTGGGGCGGTGGTGGGGAAGGCACCGGAGGTTGGTTAGAAACATCTGGTCACTGGCAACAACCTGGACTCAAGCCCTTAAACATAGGGAAGCAACTAAACAACCCTAGACCTGTGGGATGCAAGGAAGCAACATAATATTCCATGAAAAAGCTGAGCATCTAAACTTAATCAGTGTTGATGAGGGAAAGGGTTTAGAAGATAGCGGGAAAGGTTTAGAAGAGCTCTGAGAAGACATGAAAGATTATTATTTTTATCATGATTTGGATGCAAGGTCTCACTCTGTCACTCAGGCTGGCGTACAGTAGTATGAACACAGCTCAAAGCTGCTGAGACAGGAAAATAGGGTCTAGAGGCAGGGTACATCAGGCCAATTCACACTTCAGCTATGACAGGAAATATCCTCTCCATAGGGCATACACCAAGGAAATGACTTTGTAACTTTACTTCACCTCTCCATTTACATAGGGTGTACACCAAGTAACCAGTAGAAACCTCTAGAGGGTATTTAAGCCCCCACAAATTCTATAACAGCGCCCTTGAGCCCCTACGCTAGGGCCCGCCACCACACTGTGGAGCGTACTTTCATCTGACTTCATTCTTTCCTTGCTTTGTCTGTGTGTTTTGTCCAGTTCTTTGTTCAAGATGCCAAGAACCTGGACACCCTCCACCAGTAACACAGCCTTGAACTCCCAGGCTCAAGTAGATGCTCCCACCTCAGTCTCCCAAGTAGCTAGGACTATGCAGATATGTGCCACCCTGCCCAGCTAATTTCCTTTTAAGAGTCGGGGACTTGCTAGGTTGGTAGGCTGGTCTCGAACTCCTGGGCTCAAGTGATCCACCCATCTCAGCTTCACAAAATGCTGGGATTACAGGCGTGAGCCACTGCACCCAGCCTAAAGATTATTTTATTAAAGGACTGAATAACCAACTGTAGAAGGGCGAAAGTGTAGGATAGCTCCCAGGTTTCCGGTTTAAGTGACTGGGTAACTGGAAAAATTCTATATGAAATCAGAAGTAGGTGAGGGCTTTGTGATAAGAAAACTGGCTGAAGCCACTGGGAGCGCTGGCTCATTCCTCTAATCCCAGCACTTTGGGAGGCCGAGGCGGGCGGATCACGAGGTCAGGAGATGGAGACCATCCTGGCTAACACAGTGAAACCCCGTCTCTACTAAAAATACAAAAATTTGGCTGGGGTTGTTGTAGGTGCCTGTAGTCCCAGCTACTGGGGAGGCTGAGGGAGGAGAATGGCGTGAACCTGGGAGGCAGAGCTTGCAGTGAGCCGAGATCGTGCCACTGCACTCCAGCCTGGGCAACAGAGCGAGACACCGTCTCAAAAAAAAAAAGAAAGAAAGAAAGAAAGAAAACTGCCTGAAGCCTAAAAAGCATTCTTTCTCAACTGTGTGAAAGCTTCCCTCCTTCCCTTTGCCTGATCCCATCTTCTAACAAACAGATTTCAAAAAAAAGTAAAATATATTACTGACTTGGGAGAACTTACCATACTTGAATTTCTCAAATCAAAAAGCCCACTTCAATCAGGCCCCAGTTTAATGCTTTGTTTACTTCCTTGAGGGAAAGATAACATTGAACTTTTATGACTTTTATGGTTTCTTTGAACAAATACAGAAATTGATCCTCTCAGTCTTAAAACTTGAGAAAACTCTATTTGTGTTATCTAAGCTCCTTTCTTAGGAAACAAACCATAAGGCCTCCTAGATAGGATCAAGAAGCTGAAGCTTACTTAACAGATGACAATGAGAAGCCAGACCCTGCATAATTGCTTAACTGACCACCTGCTGCCTGTTGACCAACTTCTCTTTCTCACCCCTCTTTAATTCCTGTTTGCCCACACATGGTTACATTTCTTCTCTGCTATATAAACCTCTAATTTCAGTCAGTCAGAGATGGATTTGAGACTGATCTCCCATCTCCTTGGCTGCAGCACCCAATTAAAGCCTTCTTCTCTGGCAATACTCATCTCTGTGATTGGCTTCCTGAGCGGCAAGCAGCAGGACCTAGACCAAACCCCTGATATTTTGGTAACACCAACCAGCCCAAATGAGAAAAAAAGATTTCCCGCTGGCCCTAACACCACCATGACAATTTAGATAAGCAAAATTAACAGGCTTCCTAAAGAACCCTATTAATTCAGCTGTTCTCAAAATGTTGGGCGCATACTACAATCAAAGCAAGAAAAAAAATAATAACTTTTTAAGCCCTATCCTAGACACAATATGAAAGCCCCGAGGCAGTTTGAACCTCCCCATAATAGCCAGAGATCTTAAAATGTTAATCTCATTATGTCATTCCTTTAAAATGTTAAGATTTTCTTCAAGATAATGCCCCAAGCCTTGAATATCAAGTCTTTTATCTCTAGCTTTCATCTCTTTTAATTCATTCCCTCTTTGCCCAACCTTCTCAGTTCCCCTCAAAATGCTTGGCTTTGTCTTTACTCCAGAGCTTTATATATTCTGATCAGTCGCCCATCCCTTTACCAGCATCCAAACTCCTGTGCTTATCTCAGCTAATGGTTCACTTCGAGAGCCATCCCTTGACCCCATCCCTAAGACTCTATTATTTTCTGCATCTAGCACTTAATACAGAACATTGTGCTGTAATTGCTTGTTTACCAGCCTATAATGTATTCCCAACACATACTGAGTGAATGCTAAAGACATATTAAGCAATCAATAAACAAGAAAGGTAACCACGTCTGGGGGATAGTGCAGTTAATTGTTCTTTACAGAACTCAAAATTAGGCTGGGTGCAGCGGCTCACGCCTGTAATCCCAGCACTTTGGGAGACAGAGGCGGGCAGATCACGAGGTCAGGAGTTCGAGACTAACCTGGCCATATAGTGAAACACCATATCTACTAAAAACACAAAAATCAGTCAGGCATGCTGATGCGCGCCTGTAGTCTCAGCTACTAGGGAGCCTGAATCAGAAGAATCGCTTGAAACCAGGAGGAGGAGGCTGCAGTGAGCCAAGATCATGCCACTGCACTCCAGCCTGGGCAACAGAGTGAGACTACACCTCCAAAAAAAAAAAAAAGAACTCAAAATTCTGGAGAAGTCCATGAGCCTCTCCCATTATTCTGACCATTGGTAAATGTATAAACCCTCCCCTCATTTTAAGAGCTTTACTAATAATTTAGACATAAGAAGAATATAGGACAGCTACAAAGGCTAAGAAATCATACAGTTATAAAACAAAGAATATTTTGTGAAGACAATAAACTTGAAGTTCTGTTTAGGCTCAGGCTTCCTTTTATTCCTCAGAGTAGTTTATTTTAACTCGATCTCCAGTCATATATTTCCAATTGCTTTTGATGTCCACTTGCAGGTCTCTCAAAGTGTTTAACACACAACAGCTACAATACTGAAATCATCTTCTTGCTGCTCCTCCTATTTCTGCTAACTCACAGAATTGCAGTAGCCAAAAACAATATGGCCATTATAAGCAAGAGTCACCACACATTCAGGTCAAAAACCTTAGACTTACGTCGACAAAAAGAGTCAAACCCTGTAAAATATTTGAAGAGATTTATTCTAGGATAGATTTATGCTGGAATAGAGAAGTTTAATTCTAAAAAGGGTGGTCAGCGGAAGCTTCATTGCTAAAGTATATGTGAGCAAAGATTTGAATGAGTGAGGCGCCATTATATACAGTTAACTGGAGGAAGAGCATTTAAGACCAAATGAATAGTAGGTATAAAGTTGAGATCAAAGCTCTACCTTTGAGAAATAGCAAGGAGGCCTGTGTGGATCACCTAGCAGGAGAGAGGAAGACAAGATTAAACACAAGATAATAGGGTGGGCAAGGGGACAGATTGAGTAGGGCTTACAGATCCTAAGATTCCTTTTAAAAAGCATTTTAGCTTTTTACTCTGAGTGAAAACTAAAAGTCACAGACGGGTTTTGAGAAAAGGAATAAAAGATCACTCTGGCTACCTATTGGGACAAAATTGTGGGGGAGCAAAGGCAGAAGCAAGAAGTTCATTTGCGTAGCTACTGTGATAATCCAATTCCAGCACTTTAGGAGGCCGAGATGGGCAGATCACTTGAGGTTAGGAGTTCACCACCAGCCTGGCCAACATGGTGAAACCCTGTCTCTACTAAAAATACAAAAATTGGCCAGGTGGTATGGTGGATGCCT